AAAGGACCCCCCCCCCCGGCTGTTGGCTATCCTAAAAGGCAGGCGTCTTAAAGAAGAGGAAAAGTACAGCATGTACTCCAAGGCAAGATCAGGTTTCCTCCCCAGACATGACATCGAAATAGCAACAAAAAAGGGAGTCGTTTTATAGTTGCGTACAAGTTACAGTTATCTTCAATTAAAGATTGGGGGTAGATGACTTTTTTTTAGATGGTCATCTTACATTTAGGGTTGCCCTCCTTTTGAGTAAATAGCATAGTCAACAGTGCAATGGGAACAAACAGACTTAAGCGTGGACCTACACTATTTGTCTGGTTCTGCTATCGTTTTGAGAGACTTCTTTTAGAACAGTGATGCTGGAAGAGAAAGCCATACACAAGGACACCTTCACCCTTTCCCCCCTTGGGCCATTTCTCCCTGAAAACCACCACCCACAAGCTGTAACAATTTATAGATATCGGTCTTTTTTCACCAGCAGGGCTAGAAGAAGGAGGGAGAGGGACTGTGGTTTAGTGGTAGAGCATCTGCTTTGCATACATAAGGTCCCACGCTCAGTTCCCAACATCTCCAGTCGAAAGGATCAGGCGGTAGGTGATGTGAAAGACTTCAGTCTGAGTAGACAATACTGGCCTTGATGGACCAAGGCTCCAAATCTGTATTTGGCAGCTTCATGTATTCAAGAAGCCTAGGGAAAGCTGGGTAAGAGTCAGGACCAGTTCAAGTACTTTGTCACCCAGACAAACTACCCCCCCCCCATTACTTCCTGCCATGCTACCACTGGTCAGATCCATCCCCTCTTACACTGCCAATAACCAGCAGCTAGCCAAGGTAGGTGGGAGGATCCTTACCTTATGAATCTGCTGTAGGCATTTTAGCAGATGGGCCGTCTCAGAGGTCATCAGCCTTGGTAGTCTGGAAACTAGAAGAAAGGGTGTACAATGTCACTCACCTAGCATTGCGGCCTTGGGGGAGGGGCTGATTCTATTCCCTTAGGCCAGCATACAGATGAAATAGTCCCAGTATTTTAGCCTCATGCCAAGAAACATGTGCATCAAGCACCTGCTAAAAGGACAGGGCTAGGTCAGAGGGGGTGATCCTTCTGTACCTCTGGATGCTTGTTTAAAAGGGGCTTTCCCATCCCACACGACCCCTTGGCACAGCTGTGCACAGAAGGCCCTATAATAGTTCATCAGCCTTCGGGCTAAGTAGACCAGAAGACTTCTACACCTCCTTCTGCAGATGTGCAAAAGAGGAAATTTCAGGCAGGGCCGGCTCACCCACTAGGCAAACTAGGCATTCGCCTAGAGTGCTGGGCCCTGGATGGGGCGCCGAACTGTGCCTCCCCCCACCGCCAAAAGCCCACGAGCAGCTCTCCAAGTGTCAGCACTTGGCTAATTGGGGAGAGGCATCCGGTGAGCATCACCCGCCTGGAGACAGGACCCCCACACACACCTCCCTCCAAACTACCTTTGGAAGTGGAGCACGAGAAAAATCTCTCTTCCATCTTGGAGGGCGCTGCAGGAACATGTGGGGCATGCTCACTGGGTCTGACAGCTGTGGGGGGGAGAAGGTGGTGGCAGCGGTAGCAAAAGGGTGGCTGGCTCCAGAGGTCTTCAGGCCCCACCGGGAGGTTGGCATCTGTGCCACAAGGCAGCCTCGCCTAGGGCACAAAAACACCTCGAGCCGGCCCTGCCTGCCTGGGTATCCCAGGCCCCCCCACAGAGCCAGGGTCCCCGGGCTTCCATGGGGAAAAGGGCTGAGAGAAGAGCTGGGAAGGGTGTGGGGGTGCTGGGCCCTCTGAAGTGGGAGGGGGGCGTTGACTCCTGCCCAACTAGGGTGATATGCAAACAAACACACACTTTGCTTCACGGTGCAGCTTCTGTCAATATTTTTTTGGATAGGGGAGAGGCAAAGGATCAAAGATCAGGGGCTTCAGGTGCGATAAAGGCCGGGGAAATGCGCGAGAGCCCCAGTGGGGGAAGCAGATCCCAGCCTGAGCCGTGGCCATGGACCTCCTGCACAGCGCTGGGGTCCAGGCCACCTGCTATCTCCAAGAGAACCTGATGGGCTTCCGGGACTGGTTCCTCTTCATCTCCGCTGCTGCTGACCTCCGAACCACCTTCTTTGTCTTCTTCCCCATCTGTTTCCACCTGAAGGAGTCCGTGGGGATCCGGCTGATCTGGGTGGCCGTGATCGGGGACTGGCTCAACCTGGTTTTCAAGTGGTGAGTGTGAGTTCCATGGGGGCAGCGCTTCCCGACTGAGGGGTTGTGGCTTTCGCGCCACTGCTTGACTCATCATCTGCCTGAGTCACCCGGGGTCACTTGCTCCAAATACCTTCTCTGGCTTTACTCTCGGCCTATCACACGGCAAGGGGGTGGTGGTGAACTTACAGGTTGATTTGGCAAGAGGCTGGTTTTGCACTTGGGGCAAGAGGTCAGAATGTATTATCTGTGGATCCTCTCAACTCTATGGTTCTACGAGTCTTCCATTTTTGTTGCAAGCTTTATCTTTAGTTTGGAGATTTTTTTAAAAAACATGTGTTTATTTAGGGACTAAATGACTGAGGGTAAAAATACCACGTAAATACAGAGTCCCTAAGAGCACAAGACGTCGGGTGATGAACATGGATGGTCAAGAAGACTCACCCCCATCCTGTTTCCAAAAAACTCTGTCAGCAGAAGCAGTGGAACCAGTGGAGTCAAGGCATCTCAATAGTGCCGCTATAGCACTGAACTGCCATATTGGTTTAGCGCTATAGCACTCAACTTAGAATGCGGGGGGGGGGTCCACAAAAGATCGTGGCAAAAAAGGATGGGGGGGGGAAAGCAGCATTGTAGGAAGTGCTATGGACATTTTAAACAGCACACTACAGTGATTCAGAAGGGTTAGAAAACGGAAGAAAGCCGTTTCCCTCAAAAGTGGCACAACCATGCTTTGTTAGCCAGACGCATGAGGGTTTATATGAACAGGTAAATAAATTCTGCTAGCAGCCGGTGACTAAAACTGGCCTGTCTGAAATGACAGGAAAAACCCATTAGCGACCAGTGACTAAAACGGAATACAAAAGGGCCACGTTCCTGCTCCCCTCTTTGCAGGATCCTCTTTGGACAGAGACCCTACTGGTGGGTGTATGAGACCGAGTTCTACGGCAAGGACCCGCCCCCGGTGATCCAGCAGTTCCCCATCACCTGCGAGACTGGTCCAGGTGAGGCTGTGCTTGCAAACTGATTCTTCCCTAAGGCTGCTTCCCTGCCGCCTGCCGTGACCCTCCTGCTCCTCCCCTCCAGGTAGCCCTTCCGGTCATGCCATGGGGTCCTCTGGGGTCTTCTACGTCCTGGTTACAGCACTGCTAGCCCAGCTATCGCCACTGCAGCCAAACACCTTGATCGGCAGGTAAGGCCTCCATTCACGGGGACTCAATTCCAGGAAGAGAGGTGGTGACAGAGACTTAACATAAGAACATAAGAGACACCAATGTTGGATCAGGCCAACGGCCCATCCAGTCCAACACTCTGTGTCACACAGTGGCCAGAAATTAGAAGCCCTCCCACTGTTGACCCCCCCCAAGCACCAAGAAGACAGAGCATCCCTTGCCCCAGAGCCCCTATCTATACCTTGTGGCTAAGAGCCACTGATGGACCTCTGCTCCATATGCCTATCTAATTCCCTTTTGAAGCCGTCCATGCTTGTAGCCGCCACCACCTCCTGTGGCAGTGAATTCCAAGTGTTAATCACTCTTTGGGTGAAGAAGGACTTCTTTTTATCCATTCTAACCCGACCACTCAGCAATTCCATGGAGTCTCAGAGCGGCTTACAAACTCCTTTCCCTTCCCCTCCCCACAACAGACACCCTGTGAGGTGGGTGGGGCTGAGAGAACTCTCACAAACTGCTCTTTTTCAAGGACAGCTGTGCCAGAGCTTGTGACTGACCCAAGGTCACATCAGCAGGTGAAAGTGGAGGAGTGGGGAATCAAACCCAGTTCTCCCAGATTAGAGTCCACACACTTAACCACTACACCAAACTAGCTCGGAGCCTCTCTTTGGAGTCATTCATTGTCCCTCTGTCACTTTAATCTGAAGTTGGAACCAGAAGTATATTTACTTAATATGTTACCAGATGGGATTAAACACAATGATCTATGTTTGATATTATATATCCTTACCACATCTAGAATTCTCATAGCGAAATGTTGGAAATCAGATAGAATACCAGGTAGGGAAGAATTATGAAAATTATGGAAATAAAAGAAATGGACAAAGTAAATATGATATCGTCAGGGAAAGACGAAAACGTGTTTCAAAAAAGATGGCAAAAAATAGATAGATGGATGGGGGGAAATGTGTAATGCAAACTCCAAAAATATGTTGCATATGACGATATCTTTGCTTTTTTGTTATGGAAAAAGATAAACAAACTATATATCACCGCCGCATTTCTGTCATGGGAGGGGCAGAGGGGCAATCCTCTCTGCACCCGAGACTCTTTACAGACCCAGAGCCTGTCTTTCACTCCCAGACAGCGGCATGAGACATTATAGCCATGTGACAGGAAACCACTGTTGGGGCCGGGACAGCGGGCGGCAGACCAAGAAAGCTAGGAGCAGGAGACCAGGAGGTGTGCCATAGACCAAGAAACAAGCCACAGGTTAGAGTAAGGGAGGAATCTTTTCCACCCTGGCGTGACCCTGCCACGCAGTCCTGATGCGCTACGCTACCTGCATCCCATCAACAGAGGCGGGAAACATTCTGTCCTGGCTCGCGCATGAGCAGCAGGCCTCTGCAGAAGGAGCAGCTCTCCAGGGGGTTGCGACCAATGTTCCCTCTAAGCTGTGGGGTCTTGTGAGCAAAAATTCTTCTTTGTGAGCTGCCGGCATTAAAGTTGTGAGCGAACAATTTGGCTACTGCATAAATTAGTTTGTTCTGGAGCCCTCCTTCCTGGGCGAAGACAAAAATGTGTGAGCTGGAGGCTAAAGAACTGTGAGCTAGCTCACACTCACTCAGCTTAGAGGGAACACTGGTTGCGACCTGTCTGGTAGGACTGGGGCACCCACATGGGGGTCCTCCCGACCCATGGTCTGAAGACAGCTCCCCTAGATCAAAGGGGCGACAAGATGATATTTAAGTACATTGTGAGTGGTAAGTTGCTGTCAAGTTGCTTCTGGCTTACGGTGACGCTATGAATTCATGTCCTTCAAAAGGTCTGAAAATGTGAACGGCCCTGCTCAGGTTTGATTGAGTCCCTCCATCTGCTGTCGGGTCGTCCTCTTTGCCTGCTGCCTTCCACTCTGCCTAGCATTACCGTCCTTTCCAGTGATTCTTGTCTTCCGATAACGGGATCAAAGTATGATAATCCTCAGTTTAGTCTTTTTAGCTTCTAGGGAGATTTCCAGCTTGATTTGATCTTGAACCCCAACTCATTTGTCTTTTCGGCGGTCCACGCGGGATCCGTAAAGCTCTCCTCCAACACCACATCTCAAAGGAACCCGCTTTCTTCCTGCCAGCTTTCACACACGGCCATAGTAATGGGGAATGACTTGATCTCGGTTGCCAAGAACATCACTTTACCACTCAGTGTGACTACAGTACTTAATTAGAGAGCCAGTTTGGTGTCGTGGTTAAGTGCGCGGACTCTAATCTGGGAGAACCAGGTTTGATTCCCCACTCCTCCACTTGCACCTGCTGGTGTGACCTTGGGTCAGTCACAAGCTCTGGCACAGCTGTCCTTGGAAAAGAGCAGTTTCTGTCAGAGTTCTCTCAGCCCCGCCCACCTCACAGGGTGTCTGTTGTGGGGAGGGGAAGGGAAAGGAGTTTGTAAGCCGCTCTGAGACTCCCAGTGAAGGGCGGGGTATAAATCCAATCTCTTCTTCTTCTTAATTTTTTTTTAAAGCTGTCAGGTGTGGTGCTGGGCACTGAAGGTTTGACAGGTCTCGATGGTAAGGTAAAGGTCTCCCTTGCTCGAAAGCCAGTCGAGTCCGACTCTAGGGCCGCGGTGCTCATCTCTGTTTCCAAGCGGAAGAGCCAGCGCTGTCCGAAGACGTTTCTGTGGTCATGTGGCTGGCATGACTAAACACCAAGGCGCACGGAACGCTGTTCCTTTCCCACTGAAGTGGTCCCTATTTATCTACTTGCAATGTCTTGCTTTCGAACTGCTAGGTTGACAGGAGCTGGAACTAGAGACGGGAGCTCACTCCGTCATGCGGCACACTCGGGTCTCGAACTGCTGAACGACCGACCTTCCACAGCCTGCAGTTCAGCGTCTTAACCACTTGAGCCACCGCAGCTCGATGGTGGAGTGGTGCAAATGCTCGAACCAACCCTTCTCCTCCTCCTCCTTCCCCCCAGGTGCCTGCGTGGCCTCCTCTGGGCAGGATTCTGGGCTGTCCAGGTGTGCGTCTGTTTATCCCGCGTCTTCCTTGCGGCCCACTTTCCGCACCAGGTGATCTCCGGGGTAGTCTCAGGTGAGTTATTCCTTGGCTGGATTTTAATTAATAAATCGTGTGTGTGTGTGTGTGTGTGTGTGTGTGTGTGTTTGGAGGTTTTCAAACAGAGGCTGGTGCAAAATGCGGCGGCGCGCCTGCTGACATCGACGCCTGTGCGGGCTCACATCCGGCAGGTGCTCCACCAACTGCATGGGTTGCCAGCTGACTTCCGTTAGAGCAAATTTTTATTAGGATAATACACATTTCACATCTATCACATTTCTTTTATATCCCTTGTCAGCCTCTCCGTGGATCTCCTTCGAGATCGGACTGCAAGGGTCAGCCAGGGTGACAAGCTCATTTAGAAAATTGGAACTAGGTTTCCTCTCAGTGATGGGTTTGACATATTCTCTCTCTCTCGTCTCGCACCCATGGGGAGTCGATTGTAGAGCCCAGTTATATCCACCTGGCTCCTAATCATCGTACCTCCCCATCATTCGTCCTCGAGGTCACCTGTTCTTTTCTTTATTTCTTTTACAATGAGTTTGTCATTCGTCTGACCTCCCCACACCCAGTCCTTAAAGTGCCCACACCAGTCTCGTATCCCTTGGGTACAGGTCCCTGCGTTATGTGCCCTGCCACCCCTCCTCTCTCCTATCAAACCCTTGCCTCGATCCCCAATGTATTCCTTTTCCTTGTCTTCCTCCTTTAGCTGAGCTACTTCCCCGCCGGGGTTGGTTCCAGAGGGTCCCGGGACCTCCCTCAAATGGTCGTTGACTATCTTGGGTAAGCCCTCTGGAGCTAAGGGGGACTGCTCCTGCGTAGTCGGGGGGTCTCTGCCAGCGACCTCCCGACATATGGATCAGGAGCAATGCTCCCTCTAAGCTGTGGAGTCTTGTAAGCAAACTTTCATGCCAGTAGCTTACAATTTGCCTACTGACTACTGCTTAAAGCAGCTTGCTCTGAAGCTATCCTTCCTAAGACAAAAATGTGTGAGCCAGAGGTTAAAAAACTGTGAGCTAGCTCACATTAACTCAGCTTAGAGGGAACACTGATCAGGAACACAACCAGAATGGCATGGAAAACTTTCTGCTGTATTGCTGATCACCCCCTCTAAATAAAACTCCATCAGACATGGAGTTCTTTGTCCATTTCAGCCATAAAAAGTAACTTCTTTATCCATTCTCCAACCTCTGGAATTCTATCTTGTTTCCAACTTTGGGCGGTTGCCAGTTGACTTCCGGATTCGCTTCAAGGTGTTGTTTCAGGTCCAACCGACCTTGGGATTCGCTTCAGTAGATAAGTTTGTAGCTAGCCAGCAGACAGGAAACTCTCAGCACACAGCAAATACCTTTAAAAGGCTTATTTCATTTCATTTAATTGAATAAAAACATTCAAACACTCAGGATGTACGCAGTGCAGAAATCATCCAACCTGTGAGCAGTTGGCAGTAAAACATTTGAATGTGAAGGTACGTTGGCAATTCTAAAAAGGGAAGCTGCAGCTTCTTATAACACAAGTCCTCATAGACAGTTCAGTGGCAAATCACCATAGGACAGAATCCAGTTCCATCTCCAGAGGCAGCTTATCAACTCTGGCGCCTCCTGAAAGGTTAATCAGCATCTAACGACCTGGGCTACTGCCACTCCCTTGAGATAACCAGGCCTTGCAGCTGCCGGCAATTACCCCCACCAGGCTACCTTCCTCCTCCAAGGATGGATCCTGTCAAACTCATGGCCCCCTTCCAATCATCGGGGCTTAGCAAATTATAGGCTCATTCAGCCCTCATCCCTTTGTTGTTGTTCAGTCGCACAGTCGAGTCCGACTCTTCGCGACCCCGTGGACCAGATCACGCCAGGCCCTCCTGTCTTCCGCTGTCCTCTGAAGTTGGCTCAATTTCATGTTCGTTGCATCGATGACACTGTCTAACCGTCTCATCCTTTGCCGTCCTCGTCTTCTTTGACCTTCAATCTTTCCCAGCATCAGGGTCTTCTCCAGTGAGTGCTCCCTTCTCATTGGGTGGCCAAAGTATTTGAGCTTCAGTTTCATTATCTGGCCTTCCAGGGAACAGTCAGGGTTGGTTTCTTTTAGGACTGACTGATTTGATTTCCTTGCAGTCCAAGGGACTCTCGAGAGTCTTCTCCAGCACCCTAGTTCAAAAGAATCTATTCTTCGGCGCTCGGCCTTCCTTATAGTCCAACTCTCGCAGCCATACATGACTACTGGGAATACCATTGCTTACCATTGCTCCTCATCCCTTACATGTTGGTAATCACCTTCAAAGCCTTATATGGCCTGAGACCCACATACTTGAGAGACCGCCTCTTCCCATATACGCCCCGAAGAGCATTACACTCTATGGATTAACACCTCCGGGTGGTCCCTGGCCCAAAGGACGTCCGTCTTCCCTCTGCCCTGGCTCCCAGTTGAGATTAGGGCCCTGTGGGGATCTTCTTCAATTCCGCAGGGCCTGCAAGACGGAGCTGTCCGGCCAGGCCTTTGGTTGAGGCAGTGGACGTCTCTCTATGGCCTCCCTGAGGGGGTCGTCACCTCTCACCTATCCATCAACCCAAATAATATGCTAAAGAACCGTAGAACCAGTGACTGCCAGAAATGGGATCGAATTTCAATGTTTATTATTTGTTTAATTTTAATCGTATCATTTGTCCATTTTTTACGATGTTACCCGCCCTGAGCCCGCTTGCGGGATGGACGGGCTATAAATACAAATAATAACTAACTAAATAAATAAATAAGTAATGTCCATCTGACAGCAATGCTGATTGGGTGAACTTCGGCAGATTGTGAGAGGGAGGGGCAGGGAGGGCTGCCTCAGGGCTTAGTTCTTGTGGCCCTTTCTTACACGCCCAGGGAAATGCTGACTGCCACTTTGAGGACAGGAAGCAATCCTGGAGGGTTTTTGTCCTCTTCTGGGCGTGGAGCAGGGGTCACGGTGGGTGTGGAGGGGGGAGGTATTTGTGAATTTCCTGCATAGTGCAGGGGGTTGGATTAGATGACCCTGCAGGTCCCTTCCAACTCTGTGATTCTCTGGTTCCAAGGGCGTTGCACACGTAGATACCATGCATCCTCCACTCATTCAACGACTTCCCTCTTCTGCAGGGATGGTGGTGGCAGAGGTTTTTGCGCATGTCCGCTTCATCTACAACACCACCCTGTGGCGATACGTGGGCACCACCCTCTTCCTCTTCGGCTTTGCCTTGGGTTTCTACCTGCTGCTCAAGATGTTGGGCGTGGACCTCCTGTGGACCTTGGAGAAGGCCAACAAATGGTGCGAACGGCCAGAGTGGGTCCATATCGACACCACCCCATTTGCCAGCCTGCTTCGCAACCTGGGCATCCTCTTTGGCCTGGGGGTTGGCCTCCACTCCCCCCTGCATGCAGAAAGTTGCAAAGGGAAGCCAGGCCGGCGGTGGAGCTTCCGCCTCAGCTGCATCTTGGTCTCCCTGCTCGTCCTGCATCTCTTTGATTCCCTTGAACTCCCCACAGACAGGGAGCGGCTCTTCTACGTCCTCGCCTTCTGCAAGAGCGCCTGTGCCCAACTTTGTGCCGTGGCTCTGATCCCCGGGGGCATCTCCTGGCTCCTCCGGCAGGCAGAGAAGAAAGACTCGTAGGGAACGCAAGACGGGGAGTGGAGCAGCCCCAGCCCAGGCGAGTCGTCAGAGGATGCGCGGAGGACGGCCAGGGGGCTCTCAGTCCTGCTCCTGCCGCCGACTGGCCACCACACCTCCACGGGACCGCCACGTGCCATCGAGGGCCTCCTCCCTCCGTGCTTCGTCTGTGGACCTTACAGAAGCATCTGCTGGTCACTGGAGGAAACAGGATCCCGGGCTGCACAGAGCCTCCCTCCGACCCAGCCGGACGGCTTCGTTTCTTCCCCGTATGCTAAGTGTGGCTGTAGCTGCCCTGGGGTCGCCCCCACGGAAGGACCTTTTCTCAGTCCCTTTTCTCTGCGTGTTTTGCCTGCTGTGGCGCTTTGACTGCCCTGTGAGGGCTGGCAAGGGGGCCGTAAAGGTTAAGAGGTCTTTAAGCTCCCATCCTGAATGGGAATCCACAGAGGCACCGCCGAAGTGGTCAGAAAGGGAGAGGCACAGCAGACCTGGGGCGTGCCGGCTTTGGCAGAGAGCCCGGCCCCAGGAAGGACCAAGCTGCAAAGGAAGCAGGTGTCTCGGAATCCTGGCAGGGCAGCTCTGCAAGTTACCTCTTGGGCTAGAGGGAAGCTGTGTCCAGAACACGGCTCGTTTCCCCTCTCCTCCCTCACCTGCACGAAGGACTGCCACCGAGGCTCCCTCTAAGCTGTGGAGTCCTGTGAGCAAAAATTCTACTTGGTGAGCTCCTGGCATTAAAGTTGTGAGCGAGCGATTTGGCTGCTGCATGAATTAGTCTGCTCTGGAGCCCCATCCTTCCTGAGCGGAGACAAAAATCTGTGAGCCGGAGGCTAAAAAACTGTGAGCTGGCTCACACTCACTCAGCTTAGAGGGAACACTGAGCACTCCCACGGGCAGCAGTGCCCCTCTACAAAATCAGACCTTTGGCCACCTCTCTCGAGGGTGACAGCATACACAGAGCACACACGCACACGCAAGAGGAGCCACTTTATTGTTTTAATTGAGGGGGACGTTGGGCTGGACCAGCCTTCACGGCTCTGAGCCGCCGTGGTTAACGAACTCCCAGAGGAGAGCCTGGGCTGCTTCCCGCCGACTCAGGCGTGTGGCTTTGCCCTGATAGCGGCCACCCTTCCCGGCTCCTTTCCCTTCCAGGAGTTCCGCCACCCTTATGGGAAGAACAAGAGAGAGAAGGGGGTGAGTGAGCCCCGCGGGGCTGGTTCCTCCACTCTGCGGCTCTGCAGGGTTCCAAGCTGGTGGATCTGTTCTCAGACTTGGGAGGGCCAGAGGGACGCTCTCTCAAGTCACCCTAACAGTGCAGGAACATTCCAAGGATGGCCACACACAACACGCACACACACACACACAGACGAGAGACTGTCCCTCCAGGGACCGCCCTTCATAAGAACATAAAAACATAAGAGATGCCAATGTTGGATCAGGCCAAAGGCCCCTCCAGTCCAACATTCTTTATCACACAGTGGCCAGAAATACCAGTGCCATCAGGAGGTCCACAAGTGGGGCCAGGACACTAGAAGCCCTCCCACTGTTGCCCCCCCCCCAACCACAAAGAAGACAGAGCATCACTTGCCCCAAAGCCCCTATCTATACCTTGTGGCTAATAGCCACTGATGGACCTCTGCTCCATATGCTTATCTAATTCCCTTTTGAAGCCGTCCATGCTTCTGGCCGCCTCCACTTCCTGTGGCAGTGAATTCCATGTGTTAATCACTC